CTCCCTATGTGGACTGGTAGACTTGGTTCAAAAAAGGTTGGGCACCCCTGGTGTACAGGAACTCATGGCGACTGAAACCAAGCGTATCATGTTGGAGTTGGAGCTGATAGATGTTGAATAGCAGTTGATTAGACTGCATTTATTGCAGTCTTTGTGGTGTGCCGATGATCAATCAAAGCAGTGTGGATACCTCCAGAGTCTTTCCTCGATTTGCTCCACGGCCTCGAGTTTCTTCCTTCTGCAGAATTTTCAAATTGGCAGCAATACAGGACATGTTGTACATGCAGGAAATATGATTCTTCCCTGCAGACCAATCACAGAGCTCGTAGTCTGCTTTGATTCAACTCACAGATTGCATTTTTGAGGATTTGCATGTCAGGCTACGTATGAAGGCTTCTGTGTAGGTACAGGCTAAGCAAACCTACGACTAATGCTACAGGGTAGATATGAAGCAGGCTTCACTCATTGGTGTATGGTCTGTAGTAGTCCTGGGATGACCCAGAGACATACTGTTGTGTGAGCTTAGGAGGCAGCAGCATGCAGATATTAAAAGAAGGGGACCAACAATGGATCCTTGAGGAACGCCACATATTATTTTTTTCCAGGCTCACATTCATAATAACCGAAGGACACAGTAGTCAATCACACTGTGGTCAAATATTTGAAATAGGTTACAACAATATCAACACTGTCTTAAAGAAGAAAAGGGCAAGACTCAGAAAGTCTCGCAGGAACACTGAACACAAAGTAGATCTACAGTAATCGATCAATAATGTTTAACTTAGTCGGCGCAAAATCAAAAACTTTTTCCCCCAACACTTTATATAAAGAGCAGGTTCAATTCTTGTTCTGAAAGTATTCACAGAATACAAATATGAACAGGCACTAGGCAACAGCAGCAAAAAAAAAAACGTCCTTTAATGGGTAGAAACCTCGAAAAGAACCAAAATCAGTGGCGGACAGGCGTCTGCCTCAGCATGCTGTGTTAAGAGAGAAAGAAAGGTAAACCTGAGTTAGTCCTACGGTTCAGAGAGAGGGTTTGCTACCTGGACCCTGACTGGTAGAGGATTCAAGCGAAGAGGAGCATGTAGCTGAAGTCTCTACCTCCCATCCTACTTCTGATAATCTGGGTACAAAAGATTAGGCCGCTGATTTACTTGCCTTTAAACCTAGTGCCCGCATACCCAACCAGCTGTGTGTGTCATAGAGGGCGTACCAGAGACCTGGTGTGGAGGATGTTGAATATAAACATGGTGACCTGTGCGGTTTATTCAATGTTTATTGAATATGTTTATTCAATCACAACTATCATAATATTAACATCAATATTCAATAGAAACATCGGATCAGCTGTCAGCCGTCTGCAGCCTCCTCTCTCAGTTTCTCCAACTTTTCCCTCTGTTGCAGTTTAACATCTCAGAGTCAGTCAGCTGGTTATCTTCTCCTCTGCTATTATCTCTGCACTGAGAATTCAAAGTGAGGAGCAGCTACAGGAGGATTCTACCTGCAGGGTATGATCCCCCTGACTGTTTCAAGAGGATCGTACCAGCTCACCTTAAGTTTTATTGTTCCTGAACAGGCAGTCAAGATGGACAGGGATTGATAAACGTGGACATAGACAACAATGGAGATGAACTTGATGATTCTGGCGGCTTCATCAGAAGAAGAACCGTCTCAGAGAGGGGAGAAGGAGCGCTTGGCGTCAGAGGTCGCTGCTGCTTGTTCTGCCTCAGCGGGAGGGATGGCCTGCTTCATCGTCAGCTGAATAATGTCACATAAAATTAATGTGTCTTATCAAGCATGGACTCCAGCATTGTGATGGACTCGGGATTCTTTTCCCAAGCTCTCCAACACACAGACACACACACACATAGACACACACACAAAACACACAAAGAAAGTCCTGAAGTCCAAGAAAGTTTAGTGGCATCTTCAGAGCCCGCCCACGTCGTTGACCCTCCACTGTCTGTATTAATTGATTAATTTAATCATCGTACTCAAACTGTCGACTCAAATCATAAAAAATTATGTTGATAAATCTCTGATAGGCTTCATTTTTTATTTTTTTTATTTTTCATATTTTATATTTTACAATTTCTTATTATATTTTATATATTGTAATATCTTCTTATTCTGTATTATTTAAGTTGTTGCTAGTTCTGCTTTATTTCCTTGTTAACTGTGTAGCACCAATACACCAAGTCAAATTCCTTGTATGTGGAAATGTACTTGGCAATAAACCCAGATTCTGATTCTGATTCTGATTCTGATTCTGATTTTCTGTGTTTCACCCACCTGTTCAACTCATGGATGTGGTTAAATCATGTTGTCCTTGTTTGTGTGTTCTGATGGACGCGTCCTTGGGTCCCTTGAAATAAATGTATAAATTCAAGCGTAATCGTTATAATTAATTCTGAGGTGGTTTACTTATAGGGCTTTCACACTTCCGTGAATCCCTGAAAAACTCCTGAGGAGCTGTATGTGTGAACGCACACATCCGGATATATTTCACTCGGACTTCACCCGGAGTTTCTCCTGCCAGACCCCGAGTATTTTGTCTGTAGCAAATCTGCAGACTGGACACTGGAGGAACTGCAGCTCTAAAGTTAGACATTTTAACATGGGGCTCTATGGAGACTGACTCACTGCAGGAGACAGACTCTAGTGGACACTGGAGGAACTGCAGCTGTAAAGTTAGACATTTTAACATGGGGCTCTATGGGGACTGACTCACTGCAGGAGACAGACTCTAGTGGACACTGGAGGAACTGCAGGTTTTTGCAGCCCATTAATAACTTAAGTTTTTTACATCGCAGTTTGCTGATTGTAGGCACAAAGAGACTTCCAAATGAAACACAGAAGATCCTGAGTATCTTTTTTCACCACAGCCTTCTGTTCAAACTGTTTTATTTTGAACACTCTGTTTATATGATTCAGCTTTTATCACTCTATCAGGCAGTTATTAACTCAAGCAGAGTCACATAAACACACACAGGTTATTAAAGAGGCAGTGAGTGTGTGTTCAGAGCTACGCCTCAGTGGGCAGAGATGAAAGTTCTCCACCTCCACTTCACACACCACAAGCCCGGCTGGTTGCCAGGCAGGCAGCTGGCATCAGCTGGCATGGTTTTGTGTGACTGTTGTTGTGTGTCTGTGTGTGCGCTCGGCGTTCAGCTGCTCAGCGAGCACACACGTCTGTGTGAACACAACAAAGAGGCGAGAGCGGCGGGGCGCTCAGAGGGGCCGAGAGGCTGAAGAAAAACACTTCATTAGACAGCGCTCAAACGGAGAGAGGATACAGCTGAGTGAGTCACAGAGCTGGTTTATTACTGCTCAGGTGTTTCACACAGGAGAGTTAACAGGTGTCACATGTCAGTGCAGCCGCTGCTACAGGTTCTACTGTCTTTGTCTCCGGATACAAAAACTAAAGTCATGCAACACATCTGCACTGTAAGACCGAACAGTAAAAGCCTGTCAAAAAAAATGGGTTGTCTAAACTCGGAAATTCAAAATACTTTTTAGAACGCGTTTTTAGTTTCAAGTAAACAGTGCTCAACCAATTTAATTATTTTTCATAATTGTACTCAAATTATTTGATCTGCTCTGCATGACGTCACGGTCACGTACATACGTGCTCTCACCTGAAGGAGAGTCCGCCATGTTTGCTCTCGCATCGAGTCAGTAAGAATGAGCCAGACACGCAGAGTGAACTTTACAACTTTACAACAATTTGGACACAACAAGGAGATATTGTTTAGTTCATGGAGCAAATCGCAGACTTTTGAAGGGACTTTTGTTCGGACATGCAGGAGTTTTCTGTCTCTACTCTGCTGAATGCACTGACTGCTGTAGCATTGTTGCTATCTTTGAGCTAATCTGGTGAGTAATAACTTATTTTATCACATTTTGATATCGTTTCTTCATTTAATGAAATCGTTCTCATGTCCGCAGCTATTTCATGCATTTAGTATGAAGAGTGAATACGTGTTTTCTGTTTTACTTTTGTGGCGAAGTTAATTAATGAATGCAGTTTGCACTATTCAATGTGAAAACATTTTAAAAATAGAAATAAGTTTACTTATATTTCTTTTACTTTTCAAGTAGAAACTAAGTCTTTATATAAGTTTAAAATTGCAATGTTACTCGACCGCTTTTTGTTTTGGTGGACCTCCACATGTGGAAGGCAGGCAGCTCTCTGTGCAGTCAACCAGAGGTCTTAACACAGTTTGTTTGAGTGCTATCATTTGTTATGCTTTTCTGAAACGTAGGTAAACTCTAGAAATAAGGCTGGTAGTATAGAAAATAACTAACTTAACTTTAAAGCTGGTGTCTCTACATTTGTGTAAAATAACCTCCAGTATGTGAAGATACTTGACCTCGTCCTGAAGTGATATTTACCACGGACCCAGAGCTAAGCGGGAGCTTTCTCCTTGTGTTTTGCTTAGTAATTGTTAAATGAGTAAACACTGTTTATCCAGAAATAAAGACACTGTTCTGCACCGAAAGGCTAATAAAACAAGTTAACAAAAAACTAAATCTTTGAGCCCTCCTGCCAGCACTCTGTAAGTCACGTTTCTGTAAATAAACTGTAAAGATACATTTCTATAAAAATGTACAGCTTAGCTAATTTTTATTTTCTTTGTCTTAAGGCTTAAACACAAGCAACTTGGTTATATCTGGAGTACGCAATCTGGTAGGTATTCAAAGCACAGACTTTTAATAGACATTTATTGTGCACAATCACTGTGAACAGAATACAGATGTGAGCGATGCACAAAAGGGAAAAGTATCTAAAACCTGTTCACTGTATCATCATTGTATGCTTTGTAGAAGGGCCCCACTTATTGCTCAAAAACCTCTTTCTGATTCCAAATTTACTGCAGACCACCTTTTCCCTGAGATGTAAAGAGGTCATCAATGATGACTTGCCTGTTGGAGACATCCTGGAGTGCTGGCCTGCCCTAAAGATGGAGTCACCGGTGAGTTTGTTTTCTTTACTTTAGTGTTTTGTGTGAGCAGATGAGGCTGTGACCCTGACTGGTTTCCTGACATTAACAAGTGTAGGGATCTCAACGTCAGTCACTAAATCTGACAAGCATTTAACAAATTAAAAGTTTTTCCTTGTTTAAATGTGTTAACACCTTCATTTTCCTTTTCTTTTGAAATGCACTTCAATGTAACTTAAAATATCTGTTTTTTATTTTTACAGATCTGTGCAAAGTTTCACAGCATTACAAACATCAACCTGAAAAACCACTTCTATGCTGAGTTAGACAGACTTGTCTTGAGGGTTTGTTCTGGAAAGCTGCACGCACAGGGAAGGTATCCGAAGTCCTGGATCAGCTCTTCCACACTTATGACCTCCAGGTGAGCTGATTATTCTTCTTCATGCATGATAATAAAAGGGCTAAATGACGATGTCATTGTTGATGGATGACAGTCTTCTATCATGAAAGACTGTTTGAAAAAAAATCATAATCAAGTCTTCCACTCTTTATATTGTCATTTGACAGTTCGGTAAATATTACCCAACCTTATTTAAAGACATCATAGGGCTATTTCTTGTGATGAACTGTGTGCCTTCCCTGTTAAGCATTTAAAATTAAGAATAATGTTTTGTCACACTTAAGAAACAAGTTGACATCAGTGTCCAGCATGCTGCCGTCCTCCACGCTCTCCCTACATATCTGTATGAGGATGACTCCAGGTTTCTGAAGCTGTTGGATGTAAGTCAAAATATTATTTAGAATTGTAATGTGGCTTTTGAAGTCCTGGATGCTTGTCAGATTTAGTGACTGACGTTGAGGTCCCTACACTTAATATTCACAAAGTAGTTACATGTTAATGTCAGGAAACCTGTCAGGGTCACAGCCTCATCTGCTCACACGAAACACAAAAGGAAAGAAAAACTCAGCTGTGACTCCATCTTTAGGGCAGGGCAGCGTTCCAGGATCTCTCCAACATCATCTATTTTACTCAGATTCTGTAATTTTGGAGAATGACTGCCATCAAAAATTGAATGAAGTAATAATTGTCCTGCAACATCTATCATGCACTGAAGCTTAGGGAGTTACAGTTCTCTGTTCTTGTCTTTAGGTGGCCCTGTCAGATGAATGCAAATCAACAACATACCAGCCGGGCTCCTCATGATCAGTGCCACTTCAACAGATGAACCAGATCTTCTGCCCCGAGAAGGTTGCAGTTGTGCTTGAGGCTAACACAGTTGTCGATTTCCCCACATTTTCTGAAGCATTTGTCATGCTTTTTGCACTAATTTATGCACTGCATCTAAGTTACCCAAAAGACTGGGTCAATACATTTCAAAAAAATGTTAATGGGCCTCGAGGATGGCAAGTTGAAGCCTAGGTTATTGAGCACACACACACACACACACACACACACACACACACACACACACACACACACACACACACACAATGTAAAACTTCACTGAATTATTTCTGTTCGTTGACTTGTGTAATTTTGGAATTGCAAAGAGCAGTGAAAAAATGCCTGTTGAACTCGGAAGTTTGAATGTTTCTGTTGGAAATGCTTTGGTTTTTGTGGTGTATTTTAAACGTTTTCCACGTGTATTAAGTCGTGATTGGCTTTGTTTTATATCAAGGAACAGAATCTGCCCATTAGTTAGTACTAGTAAACTATTCTTATTCATACTGTTTCTGAACTATTGCTGAGTCTTTCTGAAATCAATAGCAGACTTTCTTTGGTTGAAGTTTGATATCATATCTATAGTTTATTTTGCTCCTGTGTGGTGTTGTGAGGACAGGTCAGGAGATACAATCTTTACTCAGGTATATGTCATTCTGATGGTTTGACATGCTGCTTGTACTGACCCAATCATTTTAATATTTACAAATGTTTGTTAGTACGTTAAATCTTGAACTGGGGATAATGTAAATGTTTTGATCATAAATAATCATAGGCTGTTTGCCAAAGTCCTTTCACTAAAATTTTCTGGTAGGTTTTTTTCATAATCACTGTAATGTTTGGATGATGTTTTAGTCATTTAATAAAGTGATTTGCATTTAAAGTTCTGTGTTAAAATGTGTTTAATTTTCACTAAGAATTTGTGTATTTCAGGATATTGTGTTAACGCAACTTAAAAACATTGATGTAATCAGTTTCAACAAATGTTTTAAGTACTTCAAAATATAGTTTTGAGTTGGAATTAAGTAGAGTTTTTAATTATAGGAAAGTTTTCAAAACTAAATGAAACTCAAAATATATATATATATATAAACATAATGTAAATAACTACTTATAGAGAACATAAATCATTTATGGGACCGCTTAACAAAGTATTTGTGTTTGCAGTATTTAATTTTGATTTGTTCTTTCAAAATAAAAAAACATGTAAATAATACTTACTAATTCATGTAACATTAACCTGCAAAATTAAGTTAGTGTCACGTAATAAAGCCAAGTTAATAGAACTTAAAAATGATGTGGTTCAACTTAACATTTTTGATGTAATCAGTTTCAACTATTTTTTTGAGTTCAATTAACTTCTCTGTGTTTACAGTGTAGATTCAGAGACAGAACAAAAGAATGATTTTGAGACTGAAGCGTCAACTTAAACATGTGGCTGCACATTTCATTTGATGAAGAACTACAAACTGAAGCTACATGTTTGTTAAATGTTTGCTTTCTAAAAGCCGAGTCAGCGATTTAAAAAAAAAAAAAAACAGGTTGAAATGAAGAGGAAGTCCATGTATGGGCAGAAGCAGCAGGTATAAAGTGTGTTTGTTATTGAACCTGCAGTGGACACGCCCTCCTCTGTGATCCATTGAAAGAGTTTTATGAATAAAGGTTTAACGTGGTCTGATAACACGAGATAACACGCCGACATGTTTGACTTTGTGACTCATTCGTCCATCAGCTCACATCCTTTATCTCTCACACTGAGTCACTTTAGTGACACGCCATGGCGGCATCATCACACACTGACAGTAAAGAGAGGAGGGGGCTCTGATGGCGTGCTGTGTGGTGTACCGTTCTGATATGTTATCATTAACGCCCACCTGAAGTCTGAACTACAACTTGGAAACTCAGTGGCTCAAGTTAAAATCCAACATGGCTGCCGCTGAACCAACAGTAACGGTTGAGCTGTTTCTGTTAGAATAATTAAATCAATCACACCAAAAGCATCGTGACGCGTTGAACAACAACTGTACACACACACACACACACACACACACACACACACATACACACACACACATACACACACACTCACACACACACACACACACACACATACACACACACACATACACACACACTCACACACACACTCACACACACACACACACACACACACACACACACACACACACACACACACACACACTCACACACACACACACACACACACACACACACACACACACACACACACACACACACTCACACACACACACACACACACACACACACACACACACACACACACACACACACACACACACACTGAATGTCTTCAGTTCCTGAGTAAAGAAATAAAAAGATGGACACACTAATAAAACTGTGATGGGTCGATGTAAACACCACGAGCTGAACTGTTCAAACCTTTGTATAAAATACCACGAGATACCAGCTTCATCATTTCTTCCTCCCTGGCCTTAACTCACCCCAAACTCTGCCCATTTACCCCCACCCCCCATCCACCCTCACCACCCTAACCCCCCACCCAGCCCCACCCAGCCTCGCCCTCTGTGCGCTCTCTCTCTTCCCACAGTCTTGTGTATGTGACCTTTAGTCCGTCTATTGTTCTGTAAGTGGGCCAAGAGGAACCAGTCATCTGCTTACTGAACCAGTGTTTAGCGAAACGGGGCTGTGCTAAGTGTCAGTTATGGACTGTGTGTGTGTGTGTGTGTGTGTGTGTGTGTGTGTGTGTGTGTGTGTGTGTGTGTGCAGGATATGAACCATATGTTGTTCAGTCTTAATCCCCAGAGGATATCCTGTTGTTTATTTAAGGATTATGGATAAGGAGCATGTGCATATGGTCTGTTACATAATTCTGTGTGTAGTGACAACTCCACTAATCTGTTGTGTGACATTAAGGAGACTCAACAGATTGTAACACACTGTGTCGTCACTTCTACCACTTTTACATTTCAGAACATCTGTCGGCGCTCGCTGTCGGAGGTGAACATTTCACTCTGTTATCATGTGTGGACTCTGTTTCTTGATTATGTGAGACCAAGAATATGCAATGTATTCTATTAAACACATAATAAACTTCTGTTGACTCTGTGTTTAATTTAGCATTTTGAACCCTGTTTCCCCCGTGGTTTAAGACTGTGAAGGGTTTGAAGGGTGGAAATGCAAATCTGTGGACTCAGTGATTTCAGAATCAGAATCAGATTTATTATCCAGGTATATATGCAGGTATTTATCTCAGGTAAACTGTGCTCTCTTTGTACAAAGGCATCACATTAAGTATTAAATATCAACAATGAACATAAAATAAACAAGTAAGAAAAGACTAATATGTACAAGGCTAAATAATATGATGCAGTGGTGAGTAGTGCAAAAGAAGTAAACATGAAGTAGATTTTACAGTACTTACTTTAAAAAGAGTGCGTATATGATCATTTAAATTAAATAATATATGTGTTTATATATTTAGATGTGGTGCATAGTAAAAACAAGTGAAGGAGTTGAAGTTTCTCGGGGTCTTGTTCACAAAGTGAGGGAGGAGAAAAAGAGGGTTTTCTGGCACAAACTTCACCAGCTGACCAACAAACCAGCCCACCTTGCATGTGCCCTATTGGCTGATACACACATATGTAGAGGCATCTGATAGGTTGTCCCTACCTTTTTGAATTTTTTTACCTTTCCTTCAATTGTGTACCCACCCTGTTTAAACGATGTTTGTTAATCTGTTTCTTGATGACCCTGATGAACGCCACGAGCCGAAATGTGTCGGTCTAAATTGTTAATAAAGTCAATGTTGTTACTACAAGTGCTGCTGGAG